TTCCCCTTTTTCCCCGGGAATACCAAATATAAGGGCAGGCCCACCCAAAGTGGGTGACTTGGCCCTGGCTGACGATAAAATCCTCTTTTTGTTCAACCAAGTTCTGCCCCACCAGAGTTTTCCCTCCATCCCATAATTCACCACAACCTTCCATCCGGACTTACATTCGCAGCCTGACCCCGCCACCAGCAGCTTGTCCGCGGGCAGTGAGCGGCGGGCCGTCCTGACCACCTCCAGCCGCTCCTCCTCGGTCAGGAACGGGTACTCGCCGTTGGAGCCCTGGACCACCAGACCTGCACCCAAACACACCCTGAGATCAGTTTTTACCCCTAGCTCTTGTTTGTGTGTGTGTGTGTGTGTGTGTGTGTGTGTGTGCGTGTGTGTGTGTGTGTGCTGGTCCTGTTCAAAACTCAACCTTTGACCTTTTAGTGTCTGAAACTCACAGTAAAGCACAGACTGTTCTGTTTGTAGAACATAAACATTTGAGAAAACACAATCCTAAAGTAGAGTGTAGGGAGGATGCTCAAGCTATGAGGAAATATGGAAACGGCCTGGTAGAGGGAAAAAAAGGAGATGTTCATGATATAGACAAAATATACCCTAGATGTACGTCTGGAGGGAGACGGACTGGTGGTGGACCAAAAAAGGAAAAGGTTTATGATATGGATGAAACCATATTCCGGCTGCAAGCCTGGATGAAAACAGCCTGATGTAAGACAAAAAGTACAGATACGAGAATACCATTTTTTCCCCTTTTTTGCCCTTAATTTTCCTCTTTTTTTCCCCCTTTTTTTATCCTTAATCTTTTTTTTCCTTTTTCCCCTTTTTCTTTGTTGTTTTTTTGTTTTTCTTTTTTTCCCTCTTTTTTAATCTTTTGTCCTGTTTTCCTTTTTTCCCCTTTTTTGTTTTTTGTTTTTTTGTTTTGTCTTTTTTCTTCTTTTTTTCTTCTTTTTTAAATCTTTTTCCTTTTTTCCTTTTTTTTCCTTTTTTTCCCCTTTTTTGTTTTTTGTTGTTGTTTTTTTTACCTTTTTCCCCTATTTTTAAATCTTTTTTCCCTTTTTCCCCCTTTTATAGTCCCTTTTTTCCCAGTTTTTCCCCCGGGAATACCAAATATAAGGGCAGGCCCAACCACAGTGGATGACTTGAACCTGGCTGAAAACAAAATCCTGTTTTGTTCCACCAAGTTCTGCCCCAGCAGAGTTGATCCTGCATCTTATAATTCACCACAACCTAATTCCGGTCTGATCTGGACATCTGAGCTGGTCCCAGTCCACTGGTTGGTGTCCCTTTCGAACCAGCGGCTGTTGCGCATGCGCACGGCCAGCAGGGGGCAGATCTGAGCGGGCCCCGGACTTTGCCCCGTCCATTCCGGCCACGGGATCTCCATATGCCCCCCCTCCCTGGACCCGTGGCAGCCCAC